ATTGGCTAATGCAATTCTAGCAAGATTCGTAAGACTCATATGTTTTTTTATTGAAATAAAAACTTACTTAAACACTGTGAATTTAATTGGTAACTACGTTAACAATACAAAGTGCAGAAATGCATTAATTCCATTAATTGCAGTAATAAAATTTTTAACACATTGTTTAAAAATATGTCGTCATGAAAACATATTTGCAGTCAGATACATTTAAGATACGAAGAAGCGTAATTAAAGCACATAAAATATAACAAAGACAAGAAAAAGGTTTTTTGATATAAAATTTTCTTGCTAATATTAAGGTCTTTTAAAAGGTCTCTTACAGACATACATGTTCACACAACAAGTTCTTTCAATATTACTATACATTTTTCCTGTAAAATTTATAATTATCAGCGGAAAAAAACACACTCTTCATAATAAAATTTTAATACATCGTAATTGATATTTTAATTGAATAACGTTAGATATATGTATGTGTCTCACCTATATTCTTCAAGTAGTACTAATTGAGTTATTGTTATATAGCTTGGAATTAATAATAAATTCATGAATTGTCACGCAAAATAAATATAAATCATATAGTTCTCTGCACTGGAGCTTTATTAACAAACTATTTGGCTTTGAACTAAGGCTCTAATCGAAAAATAAATTAAAACATAAAGACGTATCTTTAAGCTACTTAGTCCTTATAACTTCAGTACGACATCTCTTCTTAAAGAGCTCAGGAAAAGAGAGCTGAGAAAAAGACAGCTGAGAAAAAGGGAGCAGAAAAAAAGAGTGATGAGAAAAAGAACCCTGATTCATTTAATCACACATTATTGCATATCATCTTAACAACATGGTTCAATCTAAAGATATGAAATGATAAAATCTATAACCAAGTTCTTCATGACTTTTCGGTTTTTGATGTGGACCAAGTAGATAATACTAAACCAAAAGGTTTTTTTATATATTTTTTTATATTATTTTTTATATTTGTTTTTTTATTTGACATTAAGAAATCCTAAACAAGAGACATTCGGGGTTTCAGACGCTTATTTTTTTTCTTTTAGGGTGGGTTGCTAGCACATAAGATATCTTAATAGTACAACATTGTATTTGTGTTCCATTCTGATGAAACTGGTGTTTTAAAAGCTTTTCAAAATACTTTGCACAGATGTTTTTTTGACATCTATTATTAAATTAACTCATATTAATAAGTCAATTATATTATATCAATGATACTAATCATAATAAGATTATTTAAAAAAATTATAGTTTTTTTGCAAATTTGTCTATATTTTATATTTTTTAAAATACTCTTTAGGTTTACATATTCACTACATCTTTCTTCTATATTGTTACTTATAAGAACCATATAGGATTCAACGTTTTAAAAACGACGATTTTGGACAAAATGACTACGAATAAGCTGGTTAATTGAAAATATTAAAGACACCACATTCGAAGGATCATTGGGCTAAATTTTAAATTTGTTAAAAAATAAATGTGGACTTCAAAAAGTCTATAAGTAATGATAATAGTACCTAAGATTGGAGGTTGAATACTTTGACAATGAGATATGGAGATATATTGCATATTGCCTGATAGGTTTAGAAAAAAAATTTATATATTGATATCTTCAATTATATAAAAAATTTTTATAATTTTTATATATACAAAAAGTCTTAAAGATTAAAATATTTATGTATTTGATTTATGAGAAATGATTTCAGTATTACTTAACACATAATGTACATAATATAATAGTCCAAAAATAAGATAACATTTATATAAACAGAACAGTTTTCAACGGTAGCACTATTTTCTCTTGTAGTACGTAATATGTACTTGTCATGTATATGATTTTTTAAACAACACTAAAAAAGTCCGAAAATATGCAATTAATAAGCAAATGCAATTATAAATTGTCACAGTTGCTATCACTTTTAATGTCATTACTGTTGCTGCTCATTATTTCTAAACTAAATTACTCACAGAATGTTCATGACTTGTTACGAATAACTTCGCAATTTTAAAAGTTTCACAAAAGGTTTGTGAATAACTCACAATGAAATTATTTTTTACAGATAAGATAAACAAATTAAAACTGCACTAAATTGCGATTTTATTCCCCAAATTACAGTGTCAGTTTGTTGTCACTTTTCGAAAGAGTCATTAAAACAGAGACTCATATATTAATTGTTATTATACATGTGCTTTGATATCTTTATATATATATACATATATGTAGAAAACAAAATATATAAAATTTTATATAAGTCTTAATGTTGCTAATAAATTTTATATCACAAAATATTAAAAGAATTTTATTTTATTTGTATGTTTTTATAATTTTACAATGTACTATATAATCATTCCTTGTATTATTTTTGTATTTGAACTATATTCCATAAATGCATTATTAATTTGATTTGATTAACTGATAATTGACTCTAAGACACGTGGCTTGAGAACATAACCCAGATAATGACTAATAAGTGAAAGAAAACCATAAGAGGACAGCAATGATAATCCCTAGTAAGCACAAGAACTGCTGGTTAAACATAATTGAGTATCTGGGCTAACTTTTTCAATCAAGATTCATTCTTAGTGCAATTTTCATTTTCATTTGGTAAATTTTGAGTAAAGTTTTAACACTCCAGATTAATTTATAACACTCTAGATATTTTTCCAGAGTAGCAAGATTGTCCTGAAATTAACAGCTGTTTTATATGACTTTACAAATACAATGTGATTTTATTCGACATATGCATTCATTAAAAATAAAAATGTTTAATTCCACTACTATAATATGAAGAGTAAATCTAGATTGAGTCCAGATTTACCAATCGAAAACACCACAACTTATAAGTAGGAACTTAAAATTAAGTTATGGTGTTAAGGAACACTATCACTTTAACCATAACTTAAAGGAAATGAAGGGCCGATACTTGGTAGAAAAAATACTGGATTGACAGATTTGAAAATTGGGAACTGATTTTCAGTTAACATCGGCATTTTCTTTGTGATGAAGCTATTCTATCCGAAGTAGAAGTTGAACTTTTGTTAAATGGTAACAATATATTAATAACCTGTACAAATTTATGATATATTAGTTGTAATAGTGATAAAGATAATAAAAATAATAATAGTGATTATTTATAACTGTGTTTTATGTTACAGAAGACTAATTATTGAAGAATTTTTATGACAAATAATTTAAATAAATAATATAAATAATAATAATAATAAAAATAACAGTATAATAATACTTTAAATTAAATAACTACTAATTTAGATTTTTAAGTAAAACTTTATAATTCTTGTAAGTGCTGCGTGAATTTCTTCAATTCAATTATACCATAAATAAATAATAATAATATTATGTGTATCTGTATGTGTATTTAATCATGTATTTTATATGTTGATACATAATTTCCCAGTAGAAAAAGTGGTCTTCGAAGACATTGTCTTCAAGACGGTCTTTGATACCGCGTCCGCATGTTCAAGCAAATTTGCAAAACAATTGCTCAAAACATGAATGTAAATACTCTTTCTTTGCTTTCTCTCTCATTTTTAGTGTTCATAGCAACGTATTTGAATTTTGCCTCAGATGACGCTATGTTTTATAAATGAAGTGACGCAATAATTTTGAAGTGTAGTAAATAAACATTTGTGAAATAAATATTAAAAATATCAAAATTAATAAAGAAACAAAATCATTAAACTATGAAATATTAAAAAAAATAAATTAAATCAAAACAAATTAAATATTGACTTAGTTCCTGGAAAATATATTGATATTAATATTGAAGACAATAATTCCAGTGAAAGTTGTTTAAGAAACGAAACAAAGGATGTTGAAAATAAAAAAACTAAAAACACTTGTGAAAAATTAGCTGTTATATTTAAAAAACACAGGATTAACAGGCGTTGTAGTAATGATATTTTAGAACTCTTAAGATCAGAATGTTTAATTGTACCAAAATCCTCTTCAACGCTTTTGAAAACATATAAAACTTCAACAATTGATGATAGCGAAATGCTATATGTTAAGTTATATTAAGTTAATTATTTAAATTAATTTTCATTATGTTTACTAGTTTTTA